ACACGCGGAATTGCGCGAGAAAATTCGATCTAACGAATTTTTTTTTTTTGATGCATTATTTATGATCGCCAGTGTAGTAGTTGTCTCGGCGATTACTTAACTCTTTGACATTTAATATTTCTTAAATTCAGGATTGATATGATCCGTTGATTTATTAGTTTTCAAAAGACTTCTATACTTTGTGAACCAATAATTCGAACTCTGAATATAAAAATATTGAAGTATGTACATATGGGAAACAAAAAGTATTGCGAAGAAGACTTGTCCCAATAATGGATTTAAATAAAATAATTCCACTTGAGTTTCAAAAAAAAAATAAAAAAAAATAAATATTATATATTCATAAAAATTTTTTTATAGACTAAAATATATTTAAACTTATTTATAATGTTTGGTATAAAGTATGCCTACTTGGCATCCAACAGTGAATAACATCTGGGGAATAAAAAAAAAATGGACTGACTATAAAGGTTCGGATCTAATATCCTCTACATGAACAAAGATTCTATGACAAATAATATATCATAGCTGTACTATAATGTTTTAAATAAATATGCTATTGAGCGTCGTCTACAGGGATCAATAAAAAAAAAAAAAAAGAATGTCAAGTTCATATGAAAAAACACTAAATATAGCACTCAATGCTATCAAGCGGTTATAAGACGTAATTTGGCATTCCAATTAATTGTGTTAGAGCTTTTTTTAAATATTAAAAAAAGGCTCTATCACACTTTTTAAAAAATATTTTTTAGGTCTAATTTCTTGAAGAGGGTAGCCAATTCCCATTTCGCATTAGTATCAATTGCGGGATGAGCTATATCATCTAGAGAAAGCTCCTCTTCATCCTCTATATTTTCTCCTTCAAATCGCTGTCTTTCTTCTTCTAACATTTCTACCCACTCTTGTAGATAATCATCAAAATCTTCAACGTTCATATGCTTGTTATCCGCTTCATCATCTAAATATTCAGCTATTTCTCTATTTTCTGAAGGTTCAATTATTTCTCTATTTTTCAGAGATTTATCATCTTCTGAATTTGAACTATTTACACTATCAGAATCACATATTTCAATATCAGTGTTAGCATTAGTTAATTCTACAGAATCTATATTAGAGATATCATTATCGTTATATATATGTGCTAAACCAGATCGAAGCTGGTGACTATATATAATATCTGCACGTAACTTGCTCATTCGTAAAACTTTGGTGGGCTAAGATTAATTAAGATAGTTTCAAAATATATATACATACAATTTAAAAAATTACTATTGTTATTATGTAGAATTAAGTGTACATACCAATAATCGGTTACGCAGATTTGTTTGTAGAAATCCCATGCAGCTGCATTTATACAAATTCCAAAAATCCGGGCTGCAACTAAACCTAATTCTTCTGTTGATGAACTTGCGAAGCACCAGTATTGACAAATATTACCTGAAAATTGATTCCATGTATTTGAGTCAAAGGATACTTTTTTAAACGAAAGTCATCAAATTCTTTTAAAATTTGTTTTGGTTCTTTGTTAAACCATGCACGATAATAATAAACTAGCCAAGGACCAAAATTAGCATAGTTAATACTAATGTTAAATCGCTCTAAACGATAATTAGGGTGTAAAAGACAGAATAGAATTAATAAAGGTTGTTTCCAATCATTCCATCGGCGTTCCAAGCATAATATAAGTCGAGTACTAAGTTGCAAACATCATTATAATTATCCCAAAACTGAAAAAGATAATCTAAACTTAAGATAATCTGGTATAAGCAAGCTTTATCAGATTGCAACTTATTTAAAATAACACAATATGGTTGAAGGATATTAAGCAAACGTTGAATGTTAGTCCAGAAATTTGCGGAACTTATAATTTCATATATTTCACGCTTTAATTTTGGTTCTGCCCCTTTATGTGAAGTTTCTTTAATGGATGGTTCAAACTTTATCGCAAGAATCTGAAAAATAATAAATATTAATATCTCTTTAAGCTTTAAAGACATTAGGCACACATACTGGTAAACATTTAAAATTCGAACATGTTGAATAACATGATACAAATACCACTTAAACTGCTATTCAAATTGCCATTAATATTATCACATGACTTCACAGACATGTATATCCATAAAAGCATGTGATAGTGTTGAATAGTAGTATTCGAATCATGCTATTGCCAAGAGTATTGATTTGGAACTCTAAAGTTATATAAAAAGTAATGCATTAGTGTAAAATTAAAAAAAAAAAATTGATATTTTTTTGGTTAGAGAAGGTTCAAAGCAACGAATAATGTGCATGTGATTCATGTAACTCACGTGCTGATCGAAGGGATAGTATACTGAAGTATGTAATCAATTTGAGTTAAAATTGTATGATAAATTTATGATGCAATAATAAGTAGTCAAATATGAGTATATAAGCAAGCAAAAATAACAAAAATAATGCCTTTTCTCCAAATTATTTGATTGAACAAATAATAAAATACTTATCTTTATTGTAATTAGAAGTCTGATCCTATGAATGGTATATTTGAATATTCAATAAATATTCGAATATTCGAATATACAATTGTTTTACTGAATTGAATATTCGAATATAAAAATTTTTCACCAAATAATTCATTGAATATTCAATGAATATATACTAATTAATCAACAAATTAAACGAAAGTAGATGAACAAGATAAATCCTTATTAGCTAGAAGTTTTCCTATCGATTTTTTTATTTTAATGTAGCTTGTAAGTATAAAATTCATTTGTTAGCTTGTGTATTTAGCTCTTAATTATTCAACTTCATAATATTTTCTTACTGTAATTCATTATTGTTTCTGAATCAACAACTCTATTTTTCATGATCATCAATATTCAATGAATATTCAGTAAATATTCGAATATTCATTTGAATTTGCTGATGAATATTTGGATATTAAAAAGATTGAACTAATGAATATTCGAATACTTATTTTTTAACCGGATCAGACCTCTAGTAGCACAGATCACTTATTTATCTGTAATATTATTCAATATGGCGAATTTTTTTAACAATGGTATTAATAAAATATAATTATTAACCTGCAGAGCTTTTTGTGATCTCACAATGCTTGAGCAAACAGTATAAAGACTGTTCCACCGGGTTACTCCAGGAACACTTATAGCAAACTATTTTTTATATTCGGCATATTGTTCCTCTTTCAATTTTGCTATAAAAAATTTATGAATTAGGTTTTTAAAATATGTAGAAAGACGAATTGCCTGATCGATAGTTTTTTTAAAGTCAGTTGATTCCTTGAATATTTCACTAGTGCACAAATTTATTTGATGTGCATAACAAGGCAAAAACATGATTGACCTTTCTGCAATTCTCAAACGGCGTCTATTAAAAAATAAATTATTAACCTTTTTAATTTATTTAAAATAAATAAATAAATAAATATACCTAGCAGCAGCATATGCTCCCACGCTATCTGTTACGATAGAAATAACATTGATTGATTGTGAATTTAATTCAGTAAGCAACATATTAATTTTTTCAATCACTTCTACATGAGTTTCACGTTCTAAACTTATATTTAATGCTTTCTACACACACGGTCTACCTTCTGAAGTCATTATCACTACTCCGAACAAATGTTCATTTCGAATATTAGTCCAACCGTCAAAGGTTAAAGTAACACCAACTTGATCTTCTTTTAATATAGTTAATATTACTCTTTCAGATTCACCAACAGCTTCATTTAAAATTCGTCCTCCAAGTAGATATTGACTAGGAAGATTAAGAGATGGATTAAGAAATTTAAATAACTCAGTTGCTTCAGGTTTATGCACCCAATTTAATGCCCATCCGCAAGAGACAGTAAGACGTAAAAGGAGTTGTTGGAATTTTTTTTTTTCTTCTGATGATAAAGTTCTTACTATATAACTCTTAATCGGTTCTAATGATGATTGAGTAATGTTTAAGGCCGAGGAACTTGAATTTGAGGTTATAGTTTTATTGTCTTCTGTAAAAAATATAATTTATAAGAAATAAATTAATATATACATAAATATGTATTTATATATATACCTTCTTTAGAAATAGGAATTAATCTAAAAATTTCTTCTCTTTCTTCGGCTGATGTTTCTTCAAAAAAATTTACACATTTCTTGAAATGAGAGATTATTCGATCTGTCTTATTAGGAAAGTATTTCTTTGAACCTTCGATTTATCAATGCATGGTTTACAATACAATTTCTTGTTATGTTTGTTTAGTTTTTAATCAGTTTTAATGATGAATTTGTTTAAAATAGACGGTAAAGTTGGTGGCATGATTAATTGACGAAAAAAATATTATTGAAATATTTGATGCTCAAAAAAAAAAAAAAGAAGTATTGAATTATTGAAATTTCTTGTTACTTAAACGAAAATAGGTGCGTATTAAATTAAGAAAAAAATTGCACGTCGATGATTAAAAAAAAAAAAAAGATATATTCCTGAATTGAATTAAAAATTTATTGAATGTCTTTACTAAAAAGACAGTACGACTATTAAACAAAAAAACTTGTTATCAAAAAGTTATATTGGGCTATCAGTGCGCCTAGATCAAAAAAAAAAAGAATCCAAAATAACTTTGACTTTTAAAAATTAGTTGGCTTCCTTTTTGAACTCAGGCGTATATGTATAATCAAGTCAAATCTTTATTAATGAATAGAAATAGAAAGAGTAGTGAGAAATTGTTCGATTTTGATAAAAAAAAGAACAAAGAAAAACTACCAAACAAGTTATATTTTAGAAGCATACTAATAAACATTTAAAATCAAATGTTTCATCACCTTTTATTAGAAACAACTCTGGCAATCCTCCAAAAGCCCTATCTTTTAGAACGAAATAACTGATGAAAAAGAATGTTTCTTCTAAATGCTACTGAAGTTTTATTGTTAGCTATAAATGCGCATGTACATACATATATGCATACACGCATAATAATGATAGTTTAACAATAAGGCTTTTACAAATATTGAAACAATCAAAATAAGGTTTATTTATTTCAAGTTTTTATCTTGTGCGAAACATGTATTTCATCCTAACACGGGAGCTTAATTTCTCCCACTTCTGATTGGATGTATGAAAATGTTATCTCTGATTGGAAAAAATAGATTTACGCAACTTTTGCCACCAATTAAATTATAAGGTCCATGTAACATAACTATATTGATCATAGTTTAAATAATGACTCACAGACCAAATCAATTTGAATAAATGACTGTTATTGTCAGAGTAAATCAATTCAAATAAAAAAGTGACCTTTACAAATGATTATTATAATATAGACTAATCTAATGTGAATAAGTTAAATGAGAAGTGAGAGCTCATATTGAATATTTAGACCAATAAATAATTACTATACTTATACAGTTAGACCTCTCTAAGTGCACGCCCTTGGGACCACACTTTAATAACGTGCATATAGAGAATAATAAGAAAATGTGCATTTATGGTGGTCAAGTATATATTTTGGGCCAGCACTTGAGCGTGTATTTAGAGAGGGTGTGTACTTATAGAGAGTGCACTTAGAGAGGTCTGACTGTATATTAAATCAATGTGAATCAATAAATAAATAAACGGATCAGCAAAGTCTCAAATATGAACAGATTATTATGAGATGCACAGTTAGCATTACACAGTCTAATATTCCTTCCTGTATAGATATAAATCCGGATATTGGTTTGATCTCTAATTATTTAATCTAGAATCAGAATTTTTCTCATGTCGTGACATATGTGACGAAGAGTCATGTGGACATTTCATTCATTATAGCTTATTTAAGATTTTGTGCATCCATAACGATAAAAAGACAAAATCTACATTTATCCAATAATCCAATTCAAATAACCTTTTTTTATTTTGTAGAACTTAGTGAGTTCTACAAATAAAGAAAAAATTAGTTGAATTCGATTATTGGATGACTAGAAATTTTGTTAAAATAAAAAAAATATTGATTTAAACTATCGCTATGATCAAATTATAAACTACTGTATTATAAATTAGAACATTAAACCAATTTTTAAAGTATGTAGTATTACATAATCGCATACTGTGAATGTTTATCAAAAAAAAAAAAAAGCTAATTTTATCACCCGGTTATGCCTTTTATTTCCTAAAAGAGAAAATAAGATCTTTTAAATTCCCACTTATTTATGAAAAAAATTTTGAAACTCCAGTATGTCGAATAATAATTCGAGTGCTACTAGCGATTGTTCAGCTTCTTCAACTAATAAATCTAATTGATGAAAAATTGGAAAATCCTATTCTGTCCGATGCAAATATTGTACTAAACATTGGCAATGAGAATACCAATCGTAATGGAATCACATTTAATAAATGAATGTTCTAATTGCCCAGAAGACATACAAAAATACTGGAAAGATAAAATTCATAATAGAAAATAATAATTCAAATTCTTATTCGTTGTAAATATGCTAAATAAACTTTCAGTTTTTTATTTTATTGTAAAATATATGCTTAAATAAATTTTCATTGTTTTATCGCAAGTACATAACATTTATCAGTTTATATTTTCGATGGTTTTCATGGTTTTAACCTAGTATTAACCTATCACGTGGATAGTTTATAATTTTATAAGTATAGTTAGCATCACTGGCTTGGACATTTGGACGATATTTGGACATTGTTCATGGACAGTTGTCCATGTCCAATAATTGGACTGGACATTTGTCCATACAAATTGTAGATCATTGAAAATTATGTGGACATGGACATTGGATATTGTCCATAGACTGTCCATGTCCAATAATTTGCTTGGACATACGTCCATATACATCACTGTGTACAGTAACCAAACTTTTATACTGGTGATCATAAGTAGTGCAACAAAAAAAAATTTTTACTTAGATTGCATTATTTCCCACAATTCTGTTTATTTATTTTTATTTTACTTATAAATGGTACCTTTTTTTGATGTTAAAATTTTAATATTCATTATTATTGCCAATATAAAGATAAGTGA